CGTCGAAGCAACATAAACAGGTATCACTGAGTCCTCATAAAGAAAATCTAATTGCCCTGTCTCGCTAATACCACTTGGTAGTTTTTAAACACTGAGAAAACATCACCTTCCGGTACATATCTTAAGTAATTTATCACCAAGTAGGTTAACGTCATTATTTATGTGGTGAATAGATTTCAACTGAACTAATCGATAATTTAAAACAAGCGACAAATGTTAATAAAACAGAGTTTAATGAATCCATCAAATTTTCGTAGGACTCTTCATCTGAACGCCCTACATGCAATGATATACATACTGTCAGAAATTCATTGGGAGATATATAATTGATAAGTAAATAAGCTACATTGAATCAATCATGAGAAAACGACAGGTGCGAATGTTTTACAGTTCAAGTCCAAACAGATAATATTGAAGGGATATAAGAGAATAAAATTAAGATAACAATGGATTATGGTTCAGTTAAATCACTATAATAAACAATTATTTATCACAGAAAGAACTTGGAAATATCAAAAATTGTAAACTAAATGTTAATAATAATGAAATGAGTTAAGATAATGGTACTGAAAAACGATAGTAAAAGATAGAATGAAATATTAATGATAACTTTTCATGTGTAAAAGGTGTTACCATGGTAGATTCAAAGTGACCGCCATCGATATTTAGTTGGCGCCACTTATCCAGTTTTCGAAAACCTTTTAAACATCAAATTTATTTCGGTCACTTCCTGAGATTTCAGTGTTGTTGACCCGTTATTACCGGAAATAGGGAAATAGTCACAGGTAATGATGATATTATATGGTATTATATAGTGGATAGTGACTAGCAGTGAAATCCAGGATGCGCATTTCGTCCTACTTGGGACTTGTCACCTGTACGTGCCTGCACTCCCAGATGAGTGATAGTATTCCCACCGAGACTCAAAACTGATACCCATCGTTTTAAATACCTAGGCGTTATCTGTTAGGCTACGAGAACCACGCCATGCTCAGTAGATATCAGATATCAATTGCTTAATTTAAAATTCACTTTTAAAATAAGAATAATTTTAAAAGCCATCTGTGCGATAATACTGTGACAATAGGATGCCTATTGTATAGGAGTGAAGTAGCAACCCCACCCTAAAGCATACGTACATATAACGCTGTATTGAGAAAAAAACAACATGTAAATAGATTAAATATGTTCATAGGATAGTTGGTAAGCCTGTTGCTGAAAATGAGTTTTACATACGTCTGGACTTATGATTTAATTTGGTTAACAGTCCGAAAATAATATGGAAAACTATACGAACAACAAAAATTAAAACAGTTATGACTTAAATAATAATTTTTAGACTTATTATTCAAAAGATTAGTATATAGATAATGGTCTGTACTACAAAATGGTTAATGAATTACAGGCTAGTAGGGAATAAATTTGCTTATTGCACCAACTCATGTTAAATAGAAAAGTTTTTATGGGGCTGTTTTAACTGTTCAGTCACACAGGATGAAAGTTAGAAACAGAAGTAAAAAGAGAAGCGGCCATAATGTTCCCCAAAATTATTGACCACAGCAATCACCACTGAACATTGGATGCTGACCCTCACTGTTTAAGTCGACTTGTTTAGCTGAAGGCTTCCGGTCAAGCATCCATGCCATTTGGTACTCCGTCGTGTCACGTTCGTGCACGATCACTAGCCAGTTAAGCATTCATCTCGGTCTCGATTTGGTCCCGAAATATATCTCGTAGTTTGGACGATTAACTCTGGTCTTTTGTTTTGCCTTTGGTCCACGAGGAACGAATACTACAGAAGTTGTTGGTATTTGATCTTGCGTTAGTATACTCCGTACAATCCGCGAACGTCGATACCGTCAGCCTCTAAAGTTGGTTTGTTCCCAAACAGAGTTTCTTGTTTCTAATTCTTTCTGGCTGGTCTGCCATTTGATGAAGCCAGCGAAAGGGGTAGCTGTTGATAAAATTCTGTTAATGGTTGGAAATCCTTTATGGGACACGCTGGCCAAGTTTCTGACCCATATTGAATAACTAACTGATTTCACATTTGTGTTGAAAATCCGAACATTGTTCTCTATACTGGTTGAGTGCAGAAGATTTCCAAATGGGTTTCAGGTTGATGAAGGCGTATCTTGCCTTTCCGATTCTGGCTGGCTGGCTTTGACATCTTCATCCGTCCTGTCGCCTGTCGTTGAAACAATGCTTCCTAGCCAGACAAGTGAGGGAATCATTCTCTATCAAATCTCTCCCTTCGATAGAGACTGGTGCTGGTTGTTGTTACTGTTGGTAGTGGTTGGTAATCTTCATCACTTCCATCTTCTCTATGTCCACCTGGAGTCCTGTCTTCGCTGCCAGCCTCTTCAGTCAGTTTGTTTGTTTTCGCCTGTAAGTCTTCAAGTTTGGGTGACATTAAACATAAATCATCCACGCGCGAAATCCAGATCTTCTAGAGTCTTATCATCGGTGGTCCAACGTATTCCTGTCTTCTCACTCCCAATGCACAGTCTTCTGCATAATCCAATCCACCGCAATTAGGAATCTCATGGGTGATAATAGGCAGGCTGCCTTGTCTTACTCCCGTATTCACTCCGAACGCCTTGCTAAGTTTTCCGTTGTAGATCACCTGACACGTGGCATTGTCATTTAACCAACTGTTGAATTAGGTTGGTGAAGAAGATTTGGGCACTGCACACCGTAGTGTTGAAGTAGTTTCCAAACTACTTCTCTGTCAACGCTGTCTTTGTGTGCGTCGTTGTAGTGCACAAGAAAATGAAATTATAATCATACTTCAGTGAGTATAATGAGCTGATTTAGAAATATTACTGTTTCCACATATCGTTGGGATGTGAAAACCTATCGGGTGGATATAAATGTGCCATGAAAATGTTTCAGAGCTACGTACCTGATTCTCACAGAGAGTTTGATAATCGTAGCAATAGCAATAACGTTACACATGGATAATGAAATGAATATTGCAGTGAATAGTTTCTTTACAAATAAACACAAGCCATGTGCATTGAATACATCCAAGAAAGTTTTTTATTTTCATATATTTTAGAGTCTTTTACCATCTTATACTTGCACAGTCTGTTGAAAGCATTTTTCAAAAATAGGTTAAGTGTCCAGTTGTATGTCTTACTGGTGTATATGCGGGCATCTTGACTAGTTCAAGTTCTATCTCTGACAAATAATTGTTGATTATAGTGACCTAACTTTAATGGCAATCCAGTATAATCTTAATTTTCAGTCAGTCATACCTCTTCCACCCTTACGCTTCTGAATTTGACCTGTGGAACATTTTCACCTTACATTTTTGCCATGACTGATCTGCTGTACTTTATTTATTAGTTATATATTTTGATATATCTAACATGTCTTCACATAACATAGTATACATAACATTGTTTGTAGAATATTCAGCTGAGTTCAGCAGAAATTTATTAATATCATCAAATCCTATTTTGTTAACATTTGTTACTTTTTTCTTTCCTTCACGTTCCCCACTGGAACATAGGGCTTCAATCTAGTGGCATGAAGTTTCTGTAGCAGTGTTTATTTTACAGGATGGGGTGGCTAGCCTCACGCCCAACCTTTCCTCTTCACCAGCATTATTTATGGCTCAGCGAGGTAAAGGAGTGCATCGGTCGGGGATCGAACCCCGGGCCATGTGCATGGTCGGCGAGCGTCCTATCTGCCTTACCATCGACGCACACGTCCCCATTTGTTACTTTTATTAAATTCGCAAAATAATCGCTTCCAATTTAATGGTTTGTGAATTAGTGGTTCAGTGGTTGAATGCTTGTCAACTATGCATGTGACCAGGGGCTCGATTTCTGGCCGATGCAATTCTAAACCGCCTAACTTACTAGCGTGGTGCGCTGTCTTGCTCTACACCTGCGGAACCTGGCCTCTCCGAGCTGACGACGTGAGACGACTCTGCATATTCGGTCATCGCTGTCTCCACAGGATTGCTTGCATTCTATGGTATCATCCAGTGAGTAATTCTGAGGTCCGGCGGCGTGTGTCTGAACACAGTGGAGATCACCATTCGTTGAGTGTTGTCATCTGGAAACACCAGCTCAGGTATCTTGGACATGTGCTACGAATGTCATCCCAGAGGCTTCCGTACTGGTCTCTGTTCTTTAGCCCAGGGACGGAGTGGAAAATGAAAAGAGGTGGTCAGCCCACGACGTGAAGTCGTGAGATGAAGGATATTTGTTGTAGGTTAGCATCGGTTGGTGTGTCACGACTCCCTGGTTGGAGTCTGAAAGATAGCTCAAATCGATAGCTTGAAACGTTATCGGATATGGTCAGGAATCGCAATCAATGGCGAAAGTGCTGCGATTTTCTTCTTTCTTTCCTTTCTGACTATAATTCAACGAATGCTGCCTGGTCTTGTTAAATATAACTGCCTTATTCCCAGATGAAGTCCTCACTACCTTTTTTTATTCATATGTTGTTTTATTATTATTGTGTGGCTCATCTTCTTGGTGACATATTGTTCCAGGTTTTGTGTTTAAAATAATAATAAAAATAATTTACTAGCATATAATAAACCCCGTAAAAACACCATTGAGGTTACTGAAACCTGGAGCATAGAGCTGCAGGTGGAACTGAAGAAATGGAAAACACGAAAAAATATAATGATTTAATTTTGTTTTCATGTCTTGAATGCTTGGAAGGCAAAACAAATGCCTTCAAAAGATATTTTTACTCAATTAAATTTCTAATTATCTTGTAATTTCCAGTTTTATTTTCTGTCAACACAGTTTCGTTTTTTACGTATTTGCTCTAAAACATTCCTTGTTTTTTAACTAGAAAGTAAGTGGGGGTGGTGGAAATTGTGTCTATCCCCTTTCTTCGCTTTCCCATTGGTTCACGCCCATACTGGCATAGATTTAACTCTCACTGTGTTGACATTCTTTTTAACTAAGTTTTTTTCCACATATTGAGTACTATTCATTAGGCGTCAGCATAACTGATGAGTAAATCATATTTAGCATACTTACTGTTGTACATACTAATTTAATGTAAGTTGAAATTTTTAGAATTTTATTGTACTATTCACCTTTGTAAATTATTCCATTCAATACTTAAAGTAATTCCATATTAGTTTGTTTATTAGATGTATTACACAGTGAAACAGTATCATTTACTGGATGATGAGGTTTCGAACACAATCTACTATTGTTCATAATCATATCAGTTATAATCACACAACTTGGAAACTTGAGTTTTATAGTTTTCTTTATTCTTTCCTATTTGTCGTATCTGGGACAAGTGTTAAATCATTCCTATCACACGTGTTTGCAGTTGGTTCGATAAACAAAGCCTCCATTATCAATCTCTCCCTTCACCCTGTTACATTAGATTTTAAAACTGTCATCTTACCCCATCTTATTGTATATTTGTGTGTAATTGCATGTAGTGAGTGCTATAGCTGAACTATTCTCTAGATTTCTTATCTTATTCGGGTCAACTAATCTAGATTTTGCTAGGTTTTTATGCTCGGCTAGTCTGACTGCCTCTGTTCTACTACTTTGACCTATGTATTTGACCTGACAATCATTGCAGGCAGGGTATTAGATAAACTAAATTGTTTTGTTTAATGGGCTCCACAGGTTTGATCCTTTAACCGACGAAGCTTGAATTAGAAAGTAAAATGTGAGTTGCAATGGGTTAGTCTGATTGGGTCAGTATCGAGGTTTTATTTTTTAACTTCACTTATCAGCTCTATAGTATTAACATCAGTATGACAAGCTAGTGTCTTACAGTTTCACTATTTGGTGGACAGTTGTGTATTTTATGTTGAGTAGTTTACTGAGGTGATGATGACAGATTTATTTATCAGAACTTATTCTAAACAGAATGATTCTAAACACCTTACTAATTGGTTAATTGCTCAACCAGCAATCTGAGGGTTATGATTTTGATCTTTGGCGGCATAGTGAGTGAATCCTTTGAAGAAGTCGCAAACTGGAGATTAACAGACTGTTCAGTCCTCTAATGTTTATATCGATCCTTAAACTAAACTTGTTTTTTTTTGACAAAATGTATTTCGAAGTATCACTTACTCATGATCAAATTTTACTGAAGGATCAATCTTATACATCGTTTGCAAATGTTCTGCAATGGGATTTGACAGTTCTGTTTGTTAGCCTAATGACCTCAGTTCGTCTTCTCATTAAGTACCAGCATCATTTTCGCTCAGAAAGCGAATTACTTGTTCAAATATAGTGTACATTTTAAATTTGTTGTTCATAATCATACCAAGTTTTACACATATATCGATATTTAAAGTGTTTGTCAGTTTGATTACACACATCATTAGAAGATATCGTCTAGAAATGCAATGAAAGCTTCGTAAATTAACAATACAGCTAAGAGAGCACAACACAACACCAATATCATCCATCAGAGTTGCAAATCCTCCACATTATATACATATATCATATTTTAAGAAATGACATCAGCAACTCATGTCCCATCAAGGTCGCAGATACGCCTTGCTGACTGGTGAGTGCCAACTAGCACGAAACCTAGGTCCAAGGCTTCCTGTAGCCGATTACTTCCAACCATCTAATGTCATCAAATCAATGTGCACCGTGATGGCGAGCTAACTAGAATGGTGGCCACATTGCAAACCTGACTTGTAGAATTCAGTCTGCACCAAAGAAAGGACTAGACGTATCACACTAGTTACTCACTAGTGTCCAATCAGAAGATTATCCAGTATGATTACGTGTTACAAAACTAGAAGATTACAGAGCTAGATAGTTTCATAAATCGTGAGGTTTTTATTTCAGGTAGTACAACTCTGACCATCAATGCAGGCATCTTTTTTACTGTTATGCACTACCAACTGACTAATATGAATAGTTGGATGGCACTCACATCAACCAGGAGTACTTGCTAGTCGTATAGAAGTGATCTAAACACTGAACTGTCATTTCGCCCATTTGTTGTCAAGCTGGTTGGCTAGTGAATAAATAATCTCCTTAATACGGTATACTTTTTGAAGCAAAAACATTTCTTATAAATTAGTCACTAGATGAAAGACAATAAAGCTGTTTATTGATTAATGCTGACGACACTTTATTGATTACGTTCTCCTATATGATAAATAAACAATGCTTGAACGAGGTTAGGTCTTGAGACTTAACTGACAAGAAACCATAATACTAAGGCATTGTTCAGCGTCAATGAACCTCTTAAAACAAATACAGTTATTGCAGTTTAAGGCTATGAGATATGAATTATTGCTAATTAATGCATTTAAACAACCTATGTACTGTATGGTTGTTAATTACACAACGAACATACAATAAATAGCATATCAAAACTTTTCACCAACATGGTTTATTAGAATCTAACTATTAGATTCTCTTTAATACATATCAACTTGGTGTGATTGGGTTCTCTGAGCGGTTTAATTGGGAAGCTTTCATTGTCCTTCAAGACGATATCTGATTTTGTCATATAAATATGAGGAAAGTATATGTTCCTTCTTTGGTTTCTTAGCTCTCCTCCAGTTTTCGAAACTTCTGTTTGTCTCTCAATGCATCATTCGTTTTGATATATAATTATTTCTGTCAAGGAGGACTACTCTTGATCCTTTATCAGGTCTTGTAATTGTCAATCTTTTTTTCACCCATCAATTTTTACAGTTGTTCTCTGTGCTTCTTTGTATCTCACGTTATATTTAATTTGAGTAATGGTTTGTAGGGATTTGGTTGATTTGTTACAGGATTACATCATGAACTGACATTGGTTAGGGAAACATTGGAAAACCTGGGAGTACTGGACAGCTATTTCGTCCTAGTTTGGAGCTCTCCAGCAGTACGCACCCACCGGCAGAAGTTGGAATTCATGGGCCATTGGATTGGGTCCCAGTGGCTTAATGGTATGCGAGCTCACCTTGTAACCAGAAGGTCCTGGGTTCGAACTCAGCGGTGGGTGCGTACTGACGAACAGTCCCAAACTAGGACGAAACAGCTGTCCAGTACTCCCAGGTTTTCCAATGGTTCTCTAACCAATGTCAGTTCATGATGAAATCCTATATTTTATTTAATTCAATATTATTATATTTTTCAACGTGTCTTTTAGGGTCTACTGGGAAATCGCTACCTGCTTCCTAGTTTTTTCTAGCCTTTTCATTAGGTTGACATGCTTCTTCTTCACTCTTTTCTTCAGTAACTAGAGAGAGATATTCCATAAAAAGATGTCCTGTAGACGGTATTCATTTCATTCTCTTGTATAAATGTATACAAAGAGTTCATCTGATTTATTATTATTATTGTTGTTGTTCCCTTGGGTTCCAAGTGGGACATAGGGCTTCAAAAACACATCTCCACTTTTCTCCATTTTCTGCTATCCTCTTCATCTGCGTCCACGATTGTCCATAGTCTCTTGTCTCTTCCTCACACGACCTCCTCCATTTCACCCTAGGACGACCTACTCGTCGCTTCCCATTTGGATTCCACTAAAGGGCCTGGCACGCGATTTCATCCATCTCCATTTTCCCCTCCAAATTTGTTTAGCAATCGGCTCTTGGTTAGTTTGTTCCCAGCCAGAGTATTTTGTTATTAATTCTTGCTGGCTATTTGATCTTCAGTATGGAGCAAAGGCAGGTGTTGATAAAAGTCTACAACCTGTTAGAAATACTTTTCGTTACACGCTAGCATGTTACACACTGAAGCATCATGTGATTTAATGCATATTATTTTAACATCTTCTTATTCTGATAAACTCTACTTCGACTCAGAGACTTTTAATAAACTTTACGATTCGATCCAATTAATAATGAAGCCAAGATAGTCTTTGTTTCACAAAGATTAACGTTACACTTCAGGAACTTAATAAGAACCTTCAGAGCTACAGGCTCCTCACAATATTCAAATTCATTGAAGATGCCTATTGAAAAATTTAAAAGATTGATTAATGAACAAAAAATTTTATTTCCAATAGCTTCATTATCAGGTCCTACATTTATGACAGTAAAACTCTTAACTTATGCGTCGGTGGTATAGCGGTTAGGACGCTCGCCGACCATGCACGTGGTCCGGGGTTCGATCCCAGGCAGACGCACTCCTTTACCTCGCTAAGCCAGGAATAATGTTGGTGAAGAGGAAAGGTTGGGCATGAGGCTAGCAACCCCATCCTGTAAAATAAACACTGCTACAGAAACTTCAAGCCCCTAGCTTGAAGCCCTATGTTCCACTGGGGAACGTGAAGAAAAAAAACTCTTAACTTGATACTACTGCATATGATATATGTACAAGAAACTGTCAACTTAAAAATCTAATTTTTCTTTTAACCTTTCTTTTTCTCCTTCAACAGAATACACAAATTTTTCAAAATGTCTGGACTAGAAGCATTGGATTATCAATATCGTAGTTTACAAATCTATAAAATGGAACAAATTATTGGTCGAATGAATTCTCGAAAATCAGGAATAATTCATGAGTAAAAGAGAAATAAATTTTATTTTATTTTTAAATTACAAAATGTATAATTTTGTTTTAATTTTTTAGATTTCAAACAGATCCATTTCTACACTATGCATTTAAAGGTAGCGTATTTGTTAGTTGGCTTGAAGAAAATATTCCTACATCGGATGAAGAAGAAGCAATGCATCTAGCTAACTTGTTTCTATTCTATGGATATATATTTCGTCTTACAAAATCACATACTTCATGTTTTCAAATGAATAAAAATCATTGGTATCGATTTCAGGTTGGTTGGTTGGTTGATCAATTTTGTCTGCTGTCAGTGATAATTTGTTAAACTATTCCCAGACACTGATGGTCTTTTTCTTATTTTAGCTGGCATAGTAAAACTTCAGATTACTCTTGCCATATCTGATATATAAAAGGATGACGAGATAGAATATCTAGTTACGGAAGTGGATAGTTAGTTAGCAGACTTACTTCATATACATTTAGGAATTTGGATACCATCTAGGATCGACGTCACTTACAAAACCATTGGGAACCAAGAATTGTGGGACAGGTGTTTTTTCCCACTTTGAGATTCTCTACACAGGTACGCATGCATGAACTTATGAGGAATCAAGCCTAACACCTTCATAGTATAAGGTCAGCATGTTACCATTCAGTTTCTAGTCTTCAAAGGTCCTCTAGATAATGTCATGTTATAATGGGATCTAACTAAAGATGAGTATAGATTAAGTTAAACACCTTATTTGCTCCATTAACATAAATCGACTTGTAAGTTCAACTGATTGTCAGAAGGCTGATCACTGATAGGTATTCGTTAAACGTAGATGCAAAAGTATGAATAATAATTAGTTTAATAACCTTAGACGCGTCATAAAGTACACTTCAAACAAACTACAGACCTTCATCAACAGCTGTCTTCGCTCAATACTCAAGATCAGATGGCCGGCCAGAAAAGATCAGCAGTAGGGATCTCTGGAATCAAATCAACCACGAACCGATTGTGCAACAAATATGTAGGAAGAAATGGAGGTGGATTGACCATACTCTGGGGAAACCATCAAGTAACATCACAAGACAGGCCACCCCTCGAGTGGAACCCTAATGGGAAGCGGCGAGTTGGTCTTCAGTGCAAGAGTGACATGGAGTGGAGGAGGTAATGTGAAGGGGAGATGAAAGCATATGGGGAGACGTGGAGCCATGTGAAAACGTTGGCAGAGAACCAAAAGCAATAGAGACGTGAGGCTGAAGCTCTATGTTCCTCTAGGAACTAAAGGAAACTACAATAATAATAATAATATAATTAATAACCTTGAATGCAGACGCTTTTGGTATTGGCCAGTTCAAGTAGGCTAGATGTTCTGCTTTGAATGATAACATCTCCTCATAAAAATACAAACTGTGTCAAAATATTTGATGTAGACTTTACATTTTTCACTTACACCCTACAAAAACATACATTTCCAACAGAAAAGTACTACTGAAGAAATCACAGAGATAAAGTACTACTCGAAAACGTGAAGAATGAAAACAAATTGAGATAAATCAGGAAGAGTAGATCAACTAGATCCTGGAATTGTGGCTAAATGATAGTATACTTGACTAAGGACACCACGCTACCTATCTGTTTGTCCTGGTAGAGTACACACTATTGGAAAGTTTTAACCCGGAAAACTAACGTCAGTGCTCCATGTTTCTCAGTGGATTATTAGCTTACATTATATCATAGATGTAAATATACTGAAAATTGGAATGCATGTCATTATGCTTAATATCTACTAATGGAATGAAATTACAGTAACATACAGTCACTCTCTCGATGTCACTGAGATTCATCAGTCATTTTTCAGGCTTATAGCTCAACAAATTTCGAAATATTAGTTGAAATATCAAAATGTCTGTTGGCAGTATAAATCAAGTATACAATATTCCAAGTAAGTTAGGTAACAATCGTTGGACTTCTAAGTTATTTTGCTCACTGCATTATATAACAAAATTACATCTTACAAGATGAATGAATATTTATAATTATACACTTAATTTTTTTTACTTTTTCTTCATAGGCTCCATTCTACTGGATATCTAAAATATCAAGACCAGATGATATAGACTATGCGGTATATTTAATGAAAAGAAGTTTTAAAAAAGGCGGTTTCGATGAAGATGATCCAGAAGAAAGAATATTTAAAGAACTGTCTAAGTCATTAGCTGATAAATGGAAAATTATTGAACTACAAGCAGCTGAACAAATACGCTTGGAGCGTAAACGTGATGAAGCTGATAGAAATATATTAAATTTACAGGTAATAACTACAATTTTAATTGTAATCAGCACCTATATTCTTTATTGATTACATTGAAAAGTAGGCTATCAGATTTTTAAAACTACCAAAATCACTACATTCTCAAACTCTGAAGATGTTCAAAAAGACCGTAAAGACTTCATAAATACACCCATTCATCATAAAGTAGTGGAAGCTATACAGTTTGCACTTCTGAGCTGCAAATATTAATTATTTTCTGTCAGTTTACATTTTCAAGTATTGATTTTGTAGGGATTTTGTTTGATTGGTTGGAGGGTCTCATCATGAGCTGACATCACTTACAGAACCATTGGAAAACCTGGGAGTACTGGACAGCTGTTTCGTCACAGTTTGGGATTCTTCACAGTACGCACCCACCACAGATGGTTTGAACCCAGGACCTTCTGGTTACAAGGCTAGCTCGTAGACCATTAAGCCACTGGGACCTGATCAAATGGCTAGCCCATGAATTCTAATTTCTGCCAATTCATGACATTTTTACTGAAGGTGTTAGAAACAAACTACCCTTCTTGCTCATTGGCATTCCTTATTCAAAGCGTATTGAGGACTCCCGAAACTGTTCTCTTCGAAAGGATTTAAATGCACATGGCCTAGCATAGCAGCTGTAAACTTTAACTCAGCCTGTTATTACTGTCAGTTATCTTCATTAGGAAGAAAATGTATCAAATCTTTTAGGAAGAATAGCGATAAACTTCAATGTCTCAAGCATCATTTAGTTGGTTTCAGGAATAAAGTAGTGGATTTCAGACGTTTGAAAGAGTATTACTATACTACAACCTCAGGTTTCTAAAAATGACGAATGTACGTTTCCTATGAAATTCTTTTAATTACTACTTTCTGTCACAAAGCCTGAAATAGAGCTTTCCAAAAGTTGTATTGTACAAACGAGTAACCATAATTTAGCTATTTAGCTGGTAAAAAAATCTTCTGCTGATTTTCGGATTATCTATGTGATGATTTCATTCAGGTTTACAGTTGAATTTTTATAAGATTTGAGCATAGATATATTGTTCACACCTCAATCTCTTTACTTTATCTTTTAAGGAACAAGCATTTTGGCGAATTCAGCGTCCACCAAAAAAACAAAAATATAAACTTACTGATCCTCCACCAAGACATTTTTCACATAAACAAGTACAAATTCGTCAAGAGCAAATGAGAAATAAGAAGCTGGAGAAAGAGAAAATACTACATGGTGAGCAGCACTTGTTTATTTTATCGCATTCTAGGTTATTGACTTGCTTTGATGTTCAGTATTCAGTTCATATATATATATATATATATATATATATATATATATATATATATATATATATATATATATATATATATATATAGTAATGTAGAGCTGTTAATGAGGAACTGATTGAAAAGGAATATATTTCTTGGCTCATTTAATTGTTTTTGTGTAAATTTAAGGTTCGTATGAAACCATGCAATTCAAGATTTAATATATGTGTAAAACTTGGACACTGGTATTATGTAATTCTATATTAATTTGTTTATTAGATGTATCCCACAGTAAAACAGTATTAATTACTGGATGACGGGGTTTTGAACACAATTTATTGTTCATAAACATATCAGTTATAGTTTTCTGTATTCTTTCCTATTTGTCGTAGGGGTAGAAGAATTTTCCAGATGTCTGGGACAGGTGTTGAATCATTCTTATTGCACTTGTTTGCAGCTGTCATTATATCCCAACCTATTGCATGGTTGTGTGTAACTGCATAAAGTACTATAGCTCAACTATTATTATTTGTTTTAGTTTTGCATTTCCCTTAATAGCTTCTGATTAATTTACCAAGGTAATTATTAAGTTTCAAAGCTTCTCCTGTATGCCTCACTTCCTGTCTTAGATTTTCCTTGGTACTACTTATTTTTGTGCCCTATGACTTAAACATTTCACCATTCCTATTTTTACTGACAGGATGGGATGATCGGAAGTCCAGATACCTGTTTGAATGTGTGGGTTTCCTGTAAACACTAGTGTTTAACTTCCCATCTTCTTTCCTTTTTACGCTACAGTCTAACATTGGAAGCTCCCCTTCCTAACCTTACAGTTCATAAGTGAATTGAATTGCCTCCACCTTTGAGTTGATTTGTTCGAAAAATCTATCTATATCCTGCGTCCTAAGTACAGTGGATGTGTCATCTACATACCTCCACCATACTTTTGGGGTGGGGGTGAACGTTTCCATTGCTAACTTCTCTCACCTATCTATGAATATATCTGCTACAACCAGGGATATTGGTGACCCCATGGCAACTCTCTCAGTTTGTTTGTATATTTTCCTTTGAAATTTAAATACTGTGGAAGTCAGGAATAGCTGCACTCCCAGCATTATAACCTCAAGGGGCACTTTCGTCCTAAGTTCGAGTTCTTGGTCAGAAATGAGTTCGTTTCTGACTGCCTCTATAGCCATATTTGTTAATATACATGTATACAGACTGACAATGTCAAAACTAACCATTTTTTCTTCATTATCTTGTTAGGAAAGATTACTCATAGTTACTCCATCGACTTTACAGTATAATCTGTCTTCCAGTCTGGAGCTGAAGATTTCAGAAAGGTGCTCCTAATGCTGTTTTATTATTCCTATTGGTTCATCCATTGCCACGAAACCAAATCTTTAGGAATGTATACTTAAGTAATGCATCCCTGCCTTGTATAATACTTGTGTATATCTTTTCTATAATATTTATTTTAACAAACAAAATCTTAACCAACTTTATTTCATTACTAATTTAGATATTATGAATCAAAATACCGAACAAGATGTTAATACAGCATTAGCTCAATTACAACAGGATAAAATTACCCTGCCAAATCCACAGCGTAGTGATAAAAAATCGCTTGACTCAATTATATCCTACACAGTGAATCATTTAACTTATGATAATTTATTAAATGGTGAATCAATGAATAATAATTGGTTTGCTTCAGAAAAGGATACAAGTGCATGGGAAGAGGATAGTATAGTCTGTTCGCACACTGGTATAACTGGACCTGCACCATTTCCAACACTGAAACGTGTAAGTATATAAATATGTGTGTACATATGTGTTATAAAATGGAATGATTCTTTAAAGAAAACTAGTAAGGAATTTATTAGCGAGCTCCGTAACGGTAAAAAATATCAGAATAAAAATCCAAGTTAATGGAAAAATTTGAAAAAGTATATTATTAAAATACAGCTAGTGAGTTACAGAAATTAATGGTAACTTGGTGATACGGTTAAAGTCCTCTGCTACAATATTATTAATATAATCCACAGAAGTGTTCACTGTTGAGGTTTTGTCCACTAGTAGAAGCTGTGCACCGGCTGTTGAATGGTCTTCAGATGAGGATGAGAAGTTCTTGCGAATTCCTAAGGATACAACATGGTTAGTAGTGAAGCAAGTAGATAGTATGCACGAGTGAGAAGACGAAGCGTCGAGCAGCACACTTTATTTTAGATTGTACTCCAAATATAAGAATAGAACTTGTGCACTGTGGTAGACTATAATTCCATTGTGGGTAAAATTTATTTTGATAAAGTTTCACAGTGTTATACAGTAATATTCACTGATGATCGCGTTTCGAGCACAATTAATTGCTGCCCATAATCATATCAAGGTACTCACACAACTTTCTAGCTTCGTTTATATAATTCCATTATTTTTCATTGCTTGACTTGATTGGTAGTAGTAGTATTTTCCATATTTCCGGTATCAGTGATGAGTTATTCCTATTGCACGTGTTCGATGTAGACTCGATGAACAAGAATTCAGTAATCAACCTCTCTCTCCACCTACCTAGATTACTTTTTAGAATTTTAACCCTCTCCCACCCTATTTTGGGGTTGTGTTAATGGATGCAGTGCAATCGCTGAGCTTTTTTCTAAATTACTTATCTTCCCGGGGTCAACTATTCTAACCTTAGCTAAATTCTTATGTTTCGACAATCTGACTACCTCCGACCTACTAGTTGCAAGGTATTTTGTAAATTATATTATTTTGTCTAAGTAAGTCAACAGGGTCCTTTAACCTACAGAGCTTGTCTCTGAGTGAGTTTGTAGGTTTAAATGCCACTCTAATTCTTGCTTTATTAAGAATCCTACGTAGGGTCTCAGATGTCCCCTCCTTATATGGTATAACAGTAGATGCCTTATATTCTCTCTTATTTATGTTATCATTACTAGTTTCGCAATTACTTTTATTTTGCTTTTGGCCTTTTCTGATCTTCCTAATGAATTTTATAGGATAGTTATTTAACACCAACGCCTCTTCTCTCTGTTTTATTTCACCGTTTAGGTTTTTTTGTACTACCCAGTGCTACTGCTCGGTTTTTTAGACACTTAACTAAGCCTGCCTTAACAGGTAACGCATGAGACGAATTTAAGTCTAAATATCTATTGGAATGCTTTGGTTTTTTATAAACACTAGTGTGCAGTTTACCTTCTTCTGTTCGTTTTGTTTTACAATCTAACATTGCTAATTCTCCTCGTTCATTTTCCTATTCAAATGTGAATTTTATTCCCTCTACTAGTGACTTTATATTTGTCAAGAAGCTAGAGATATGTTCTGTTTTTAACACTGTGAAAGTGTCATCCACATATCTCCACCATATTTTTGGAGTTGGATTAAATGCATTAAAAGGAGTATTTTCCCAGCTGTCCATAAAGATATCTGCTACAATAAGGGATATTGGTGATCCCATTGCTATACCTTCTGTTTCTTTATATATTTTGCCTTGGAATTTAAAGCTAGTAAATGTGAAGCATAACTGAATTCCTGTTGTGTGGGTGCCTTGATATGATTATGAGCAGCAATAAATTGTGCTCGAAACGTGGTCATCAGTAAATATTACTGTATAACACTGTGTGACTTTATCAAAATAAATTTTATCCACAATGGAATTTTACTCCAAAGTTATGTATATTTTACCATGAATCGTTTTAAACAAAAGTTAAATACAATGTTTCCATTCGTCACATCTACCAAAAAACTGTACAATCATACTGTTCCATACTCTACAAACTAATATATGCAACTCTTCAGAGTTTATGATCATGTGTGTACGTACAACATAAAATGTTACTTTTACCAGAAAGCATCATTAATCTGTGCCAATAAGCATTGAGTGACTAAGTGGATAACATTGCTATTCAAGAAAGACTGTCTGATTCTGATCACTTAACAATGATTCAGAGTGGCACTCAATAAAACTTACTATGCATCCAAGCTTATTTTTATACAGAAAGAGAAATTTATGTTGTCCTGTAAACCATCACAACATTCAAACGTCAGTATCACATTCCACTGTATATGCATATGTAGTCACATGTACTCTGGGAGGAGCCATTCCTAAGGGGTTACAAGAATAAATGAGCTCATTGGTTTTAACTGACTTTGGAAGTAGATACTCAGCCCCACCTATCATACATCTGATTTCACCAGTTAGTTTAAACCCACATTAAAAACATTCAAAGTTCACATACTTAAATTCGATGAAGCCAAAGCTATAAAAAGGCTTGAAACAGTTTTATGTGATCAAAAGCTATTTGTTATTACACTGAACTTGCTATGGTAGTCCAATTTTAAAAGTAAAGGTTATTTTAAATAACATTAATATTTCCCTCTTGTTTTTCTAATCTGATGTCTATGACCCCGAAATGAATATTTTAGCCTAAATTGATTCAGTTTTGACCTTTCATACTCCGTTTCCTATCATATAAATATATATATCAGGTACGCACGTGTGATCAGAATGTGGATAACATTAAATAGTTTCTTTCTTATTTGATTCCATTCAGTACAGTATAATTTTTAAGGGCAAACAGATGACTAAGATGTTGAATTCCACTGTATCGCATTATTCTTTCATGTTCGTTGTATTTCATTCATAACCTTCCATTCACAGGGATCAAACTCAGGACCTCTAGGTTACTAGACTAGTCCGCTGACTATTCAGTCACTCACCGGGTAGGAATCTACTGAAACATGAATTCTAATTTCTATTATTTCACGACATAAGGCCACGATCGATCAATGCTTCAGATTTAACATAGTGTGATTCTCAAACTGATATCAGTTATTGATGAAATCTATACAGAAGTTAGTCAAAATCTCTATAACCCCTAGACTGAACAATCGAGAAATTATTTGAACTGCAGTCAAAGGTTTATTCTCGTGAAGCTGGAGATATAAACATCTAAGGAGTCTTAGACTAAAAGAGTGCATTTATTCAATTTTCTCAGCATCCATTTGTTTCTCCACTTACTTTCAGTCAAAAATGAACGACGCATTCAAAAAGAAAATGTAGTAATTTAAATTGATAGGGACAATAACTTCTATTAATATATGTGTAAAACTTGGGCACTGTGGTAGTAAGTAATTCCATATTAGTTTGTTTATTTGATATATCACACAGTGAAACAATATTATTGACTGGATGCAGTAAATAATACTGTTTCACTGTGTGATATATCAAATAAACAAACTAATATGGAACAATAACTTCTAATCATAGCTACATATGAATAGCTTATTAAGTGATATGTGCTCTAGCGATCAATACCTGAATGTACTGTGCACTGATTAACTCTCTTATGTAGTGATCATATGAGAGTTTGTGTTCTAGAAATCCTTATGATGAAGAAGATAAATGAAATAAGTAAGTGTGGTATTACAATTTCAGATGAAGATAGAATACAGTCGGTTCTACTATATTTAATGTTAAATGCTACCAGCAAGAGAGAATATAAGCTTATATTTGCATCCTCGCCTAGTTTACCAGCCAGCTCTAAGGGTGGAAAAGAGAGAAGGTTGAGAGTGGGGCTAGAGACCCCGCTCTGTAAAAGGCCACGTCTTGGTTACTGAAACTTCAAAGCATCGAAACAACTAAATTTTTTCGCTGTGTTTTAAGCATAACTGAATTTATCTGAACAGATAAGTGATTGACTTATGTCACTAAGCAAACTACTGCATCACCTTCACAATCTCTTTTGATTGGTAAGCAAATTTTAACGTCAGTTAACAAACAACATAGCACAGAGAGATTAAGTATGAGTAGTTTACATAATGTCCAATCAATAATTCGTCAGTTATAATTTCGGTTACTCTAACAGCGATATCCGCCTAAATGAACTTTAGAAGTAAGTCAACTGCTTATTACGATAAGCTGAAACCTCAACTAGTCATTTTTAACTGCTTTGAATCGCTCCGTTTTTATATAAGTTTTACTTAACCGTTTTGACAGCACATAAGTCAGCAAACCGATCTCTTCTGGTAACTTCTCTTCAAAGATGTACTGTTATTTTAGGGCTGAATATGTGCATTTTTAATTGGCAGCAAAGGTCAATGGTTATTGTCAGTTAGTAGCAAGATAAATCAACGTGTATAAGAAATAACGATGTGTTAAAGCTAGTGAATAATCTCACTCCGTCGACAGAATTGACAGCTAATCAGTTAAGTGATGAATTTATTTAGAATTAAAAGAAAAAAGAAATTATTTATGTTCTATGAGTTGATCACGGACTGATATCAGTTAGAGAACCATTGAAAACCAGCAATGGAGTACTGGACAGCTGCTGTTTCATCCTAGTTTGGGAATCATCGGCAGTACGCACCCACTGGGATTCGAACCCAGGACCTTCCGGTTACAAGGCAAGCTGGCTCGTATACCATTCAGCCACTGGGACCCGATTCAATGGCTCATGAATTCTAATCAGTCCGTGATCAACTCGTAAAACATAACTGATCCTTACAAACCAAACTATAGAAAATTATTCTGATGCTCGCTAGTGACTTGCTACAGGTTGGAGCTTCCTGCAGTTCTAGTGAGAAGTCGTGACCAGTGAGGTCCAATTAGAAGTCACGTGTGTGGATGGATGTCCCACCAACGACAATAGTTGGGGTCGCGCTAAAAATCATGAATTGGTAGAAGTTAGAATTCATGAGCCATTGAATCGGGTCCCAGTGGCTGAATGGTATACGAGCCAGCTTGCCTTGTAACCGGAAGGTCCTTGGTTCAAATCCCAGTGGGTGCGTAC